ACTGAGGGTTGCGATCCGTTGCCGGTCACGAAAAAAGACAAAAAGGAAAAAAAAATTTTTAAAAATTTTAAAAAAAGAAAATGGATGATAGTAATAAATGTGCTTGAATCATAATTAAGGACAATAGATTCTTTAAAATGAGCTGAAAACTGTCAGAATGCCAGGAAGGAGAACCCTACCCGCCTAGAAGTCAGGACTTCTTGTTGGAAAATTTCCTGAGGGTTAGTGACCACTACTCCCATGAAGGGTGGGTGCCTTAAGGTGAGGAACTGGGGCACAGCCTCTCCTGTCCCTGCCCTGTGCCCACCAAGGAACAGAAAAGAGAGTCATCAGTGTGCGAAGCTCCTTGGCTCTCACATGGTCCTCAGGGACCACAGCCCACCATGCGACCACCCATCTCCATGCAGTTCTCTTGCCCCACCCAACCAGAACCAGTGCCCGACTTACCTCCCTGTGGGCCTCACTGGAGATTTTATTGGTGTAGCGCAAAACCTCCAGCTCCATGTTGGTCTTAAACACTCTGCTTCAGAGAGAAGGAAGACAGAGCAGCAAATAAGTGACTTCCAGCAGGGGCTGGCTGGACTCCCCCAGGGAGATCTCGGGGCCCACCACACCCTGCACAGCCTGGTAAGGGGCACCCTGATAGGCCTGCCTGTGGCTGCACAGGATCACAGTGGGGCCACCAAATCTGGAAGGGAGCAGAATGATGCCAACCTGCCCTACCACCAGCCACAGGAGTGCAGGCTGTTTCCAGTGACAAGATCTGGAAGAAGCCCAGACTCTGCAGCCAGGTACACCTGCCTTCCTGAGCCTCAGTCTCCTCACCCATAGAAGGGGGGTAAAATCTACAATGCCCAGGTCATTGGACCTTAACCTTAAGTGTGCTGCCTCCCAAAGCTCTGCCCAGTTGGCTGAAGAGGCCTCTTGTTTCCTCCCCTACCCCACACCCTGCCCATGGGGCAGCTCAGGGACACCCAGTGACTCAGGCCCTTGCCTGAGACGGGGACAGGTGCAGGGCAGGGGGACAGGGGGAGGGGGAACCACCTGCAGCCATGTGTGTGCAGGTACAAATGCAGAGAAACATGGGAGACTAGGAGCAGATGGGAAGAACTCAGCAGCAAGGGAGGAGAGAGGGCACGTGTGAGGCAGGGCAGGCAGAACCAGGAGACCCTGCTGCGCCACCTGCAACTGGACTCAGGGGTTCCTGGGATCCTCACAACAAACCCATGTTCATTTGCTCAAACTTGGTTAGGTTCTGGTCCTTGCAATCAATCTCATCTCCAAGTAAGACTCGCATAAAGGAGCTAAATAAATGTTTTCTACCTCCACCCATTTCAAATAACTAACTCCAGACCCACAGGCATTTAAATGGCAGCTCTGACAAGTCATTAAGAGCACAGGCTCAGGAGACAGACCCTGGGTTCTCCAATCCCAGCTCTACTCCATCCTGGCTGTGTGGCTGAGACCCTTACTCTGTGCCTCAGTTTCCTCATCTATAAAGTGGAGGTAATGACTTCCTCATAGGGCTGTTGTGAGAATAACTTAGTATTTTCAAATCTCCAAGGACAGTGCCTGGCATGTAAATGCTATGTAGATTTGTTACATAAACTAAGTAAAATGCAAGCCTGTAGATACTGCCTCATCCACACTATCCACCTTGAAGCCAGACAGAATCTTCTGACATCCTTAGGTAGGATAATATGTCCCTGTATTTACAACAGGCCCATGAAGGCGAAAGCAAACAGGGCTTCTTTCTACATTGCCATTCACTGGGGCTTGTTCCATGTTAGGTCCCATAAATGGCAGTGGCCACTGGCTGCACTGCCCAACTTGTCCCCTAGCTGTGGGAAGTGCTGGCAGCCAACAAGTCCTCTCTAGGAATGCCCCAAAGCCACACCCCTGTACTGGTTTCCTCGACTTGACGGAAAAAATAAAGACCAAGTTCCCGTGTTTCAACTGGGAACGTCTCTGCTGGGCCACTCCAGCTCCAAAGCTCCATGGGATCAGCTGAGGCTTCTTGTGACTACACTGAGCCCAAGCCTGCTCCTTCACTCCACCGCACATGGTGAGAGGAGGAGAGGGGGAGGGGAGGGAAGGGGGGAGAGGGGGATGAACCTCCTTTCTTTCCTGAGGAGGCAGACCCTGAAGCCTGACAGTGTACTGTGTATCATCTAAACTGTCCTGGCAACTGTCCTGCCTGGGGACCAGAGGCTTGTTCCTGTTCCCTAGAGGTTGAGGGTCTAGATTCAAGGATACTCAAAACTCGAGTACAGGACTCAAACGAACAGCTCAGGCTCCTGAGGGCCAAATCCATTTGCAGCCAATTGTGTTTTCTTCCCAACTGCCACCCTCCAGGGCAGCAAATGCAGTGATGGCCACAGGTGGGACCAGGCCCAGGCTGTACCCACCTCCAGCCCACAAAGTCCTCCACTTTCCAGGCAGGAGCCTCCCTTTGCCTCTCTATTCAGCTTAGGTCCCTCCCTGGGCCTTCCCACCTGCAACACTATTTCTTTTTTTTTGGCAGCTGGCCAGCATGGGATCTGAACCCTTGACCTTGGTGTTAACGACACTGTGCTCTGCTCCAGGGCCAATGAGCACTGCCAGGGAAAGCTGTGCGGATAGCCCAGCAAGCTCCTAGTCACCGGCCTCAGCAAGGCCCCTGGTTCTGCCATGAGCTGCAGGGGAGCATGCAGGAGGGCTACTCTCAACTTTCCCACCTTCCCCAGATCTCTCCCCTACCTCAGGCGCCTTCTCAGCAGATGAATGAACTCATCTCCCACTTCACAGGAGAAAGAAGCCAGCGGATGGACCCAGTCTCGCCTCTCCTCCAAACTCCCAAGCCTTCTCCCTCCCCGACCTGTCCTCTCCTCCCTCCCTCCCCTTATCAAGGGAAGGCTACCCTCTTCCCCTGAGCCAGACCCCACTTTCTCCAGTTTGGACAACCTCTCCAGCCTCCACCAGCCTCCGGACCTCTAGCCCTGCCTGCTCCCTGACAGGAGCTGGGGATCTGTAGGAAATGCAAATCTCGTTGTGCTTTCCCTGGTTTAAAACCTTTCAGTGGCCTCTAGGTGTCCTCAGGATGAAGCTAAAACTCTACAGAGGGACTTGTGAGGCTCTCCAGGCCTGGGCCCCTGCCACTCCCTCCCCCAGCTTCCCCCTCCTCTGCCTGGAACTTACTGCTGTCCTTTCTTCTAACTGTGTGGTCTCCAGCTCCCACCTTTCTCAAGGCAGGGGAGGGGCTTCCTCCATGCCCCCCATCCTAGGCTGAATCCCTTCTCTATGTTCCCTGGACAGTCTGTATGAATCCTCAGAAAACTATCACACTTGTCATTTCTTTTAAGTCTCCTCCAAAAAGCTACAGCCCTGGACAGCCAGGTCCCAGTACCAGAAATGCCTGGCCCAGAGCAGACGCACAGAACCGGAGGGTCATCAACACTATCTAGGCATTGCACCAAAGCCAGAAAACATCTTATTTCCAACAAGGTGAGCTAATGGCCTCATTTCAAAAAGAAATGTCACCTACCCCACACTCTGCCCCAGGGGAGTCCACCAGGTCTGAGCAGGACAGTGCTCGCCCTGATATGCTGGGCAGTGCAGGGGCCCAAACTCCCGCTGCCACTGCCTCACCCCCGGCCACACGGGTAGGGAAAGGCAGCCCAGGATTTGTGCCCCAGAGCTCACACTCACAGGCTCTCCACTCTGCCCCTCCCTGCAGCTCGAGCATCCTCACCCGAGATGAGCCGGAAGTGCATAATCAGCCCAAGGAGAAAGAAGGCTTGGGTCCCAAACCACATTTTCTTCTGATCAGAAACAGTAAGAATTTTCAGCCATCGACACCCACTATTGTGCTTTCTTTTCTAATTTTACCTTGAGTAAAGTGACAGACTGGGCCTCTAACTGGTTTACCCAGGACTTATTTTTTTAATCACATTAAAAAAACACTCAAACTGAACCAGGGCAAATTATCCCAACAAGGCAGTTCTCTCATGAAACCAGCCTGGCTGGGCTTTGGCCTGGCCCAATTTCATCCATGCTTAAATAGATGTCGGCTGTGTGCTGGCTTAACCAATTATTCATTTGATACTCTGGACCTGAAGTCTCACTCAGGTGCCAGGCAGAGAGAGAGGGATGCATCCCACCCAGGCTCAGTTATCTCCAAGACACAAGCACCAGAAATTGTTTTCAAGATTACTGCAGAGAACAGTGAGACTTTCTAGCAATCTGCATGGTTTCTCCCCACCCTCAGGAGGAATTCACCACTCTGGACATGATGAGGCTATTTCTGCTATTCTTGAACAAAAAGGACAAGAAAAAGGGGATTCTTCAGCCTCTGCAGACAACCATCTGGGAGTGAGGGATGCTCAGTGCCAAGCTCAGAACCAGCCTTGTCTGGCCCAAAGATGTGTGGGGTGGTGGTTAGAGATACGATCTACAAGGCTGATATCCCAATGAGAGGACAAAGGCCATCTCCTCTAGGAAGCAACAGAGGACCATGGCTTAGACAGGACAACACAGATGCCACATAAGAAGTTAGGGCAGAAGGCAGATCAGGCTATTCTGCCCGGAAGAGGAGGTCCCTCACGTATGCTGGGGGACGTGAGCGTGGCACAGCCTCACATGCGGTCCCCCAGCTCCCTGCCATGCTGTGAGCATCACCACTGCAAGGGGGCCGCTCAAACAGAAAGGGGGTCACACAAGCACAGGGAGGATGAGGAGGCCAAGGCTCCTACCCCACTCTGGGCCCAGAGTCTCCTGTTACAGGCCTGAAATCAGAAAAACTGGACTAGGCAGAGGTGTATTTGTGCACTTTTTTTGCCTTAAATTTTCAAAGGTCACGAAACTGCCTCTGAACATTATACTCAGGACTAAGACATCAATTAACTGAGGTCTAAATACTCCACTGATTAAAATAGTCGCAAGACAAGATGAAGTATTTCCAAAATCAGTCTCTAAGCATCAAAGTGCTACGGTGTTGAACAAAACCCATTAAAAGTCCAAGAAATCCATCTCTCCTGGAGACGAATGTGCAGGGAATGGTTCTGTGGGAGCAGGTGGGTGGGAATTCAACACCACAGGATCCCCACAGCCATCCCTTCCACACCTGTGACCCAGTGATGCAAGGGGTAAAATCCCACCACAAAGGGAGGGACAGAAAGAAAAGACTTGGCTAAAATTACATATCCTCAGGAGGCTCAATCAATAACCACAGCCATCCCTTCCACACCTGTGACCCAGTGATGCAAAGGGTAAAATCCCACCACAATGGGAGGGACAGAAAGAAAAGACTTGGCTAAAATTACATATCCTCAGGAGGCTCAATCAATAAGTCCTCTTAGAGAAACCAGAGCCATGAAGAAACCATAGTTTAGCTCAGCTGGGAGCTGAGTGTGCCCAAGAACTGTGCAGGGACCGGCAGGCGTGGATGGGAGGACCACCTCCTTGCCCACATCAGGGCCAATATACCTTGCCTCTGTCTGCTGCTCCCACACCCCACCTCCTGGCACACAGTAACTCAAGTTCCCACTCTGCCCCAGGAACCCCACTTTCCATTGGCTTCCTCATTAACATAGGTTTAAATGCCTGTTCATTAGGAGACAAAGATAAGCAATCTTACTGGAATGCTTTTTACCAAGACTCTAGGTACCTTTTCTAATTGGGACATGGTACCCAGGACATAGGGTCCCCTAAACCATCCCCGGCTTACCATCTCCCATGCACACAGAAAGGCAAGGGAGCAGAAAATAGATGTTACCCACTGCCTGATTGATGCATGTAGGACATTTTCACTCCATGTAATTAACAGCTCTAAAACCAGCGTATGACTCAATTTAACACAGTCTCACTTAAAATCCAAGAAGGCACACAGCGGTTGCTGACATGCTTGCTCTTCTGTGACACTTCCAGAGGTACTTAACCAAAACCCAAGGCACTGGGCTATAGGCAGTACGAAAGCATCTCCTTTTATTTCCTACTCTACCTTCAGATCAATTTAATCATCTGCAAAACAGGAAAGTAGAACCACAGCCTAAATTATGGAAGTAGGACGCCTGTTCTTATTAAGTTTCAACTTTTGACCTTCACATTCAAACTGTCATACCCAGCACAAGGAAAGAAATTATCAGTTATGATCTCATGTTTGTGGGGAAGGGTATGATTACAGAGGAATTTACAGGAAATCAAAAAGGCACTGCTTGAGAGAATGGAAAACAATAAAACAGTCACAGAAAGGAAATGAATGACACCTAAACAAAGATGAGAAAGTGAGCCTCCCCATGCTAGGAGAGGCTGCTCGTTGCCTCCCAATCAGACAGGCTCCAGGAGGAACCCCAAGTCCCCAGACAAGCTGCTAGCTGGGGTGTGTGTGGGTACAGAGGATGCACAGCCACACACCTCTGGTTCCCCACCCTGCTACACCCTGGCCTTGGCACAAGATGCATTCCGAAGGCTCCGAGCACCCTGTGAACCCAGTGGCCAAGAGTGAACTGAGAGAGAGGCTGACCCCCAGGCATGCCACCCCCAAGGGTGCTCCTCAGTGCTGCAAGGGGCGCACAAGATCCTGGAACCAGCAGCCTGGATTCAACTGGCTTTTTCATGGGCAATTCACTAACCTCCCCTTCCCCAGTTTCCTCATCTGTATCTTGTGGATTACTAGAGCACGTACCTGACAGAGCATAAATAAAATACCTCTTTTAAATAAGGTGGCATGTGTCAAGTGCTTAGCATGGTAACTTGCACATAGGGAACCTTAACAGGTGACAGCCAGTATTATTAAGATGTGCCAGCATTTGACTTACAATCCCATTCCATCCTGAGTTATCCGCCTACTTTGCAGGTGAAGAAACCCAGGCTAGGTGATTTTCCACGTCCATACTGTGAGTTAGATATTACTATATTATACCTCCATTTTACAGATGAAGAAGCTGAGTCTCAGAAAAGTTACATGACTTCCTGAGCAGGGCAGGCTGGGGTTAGAACCAGGGGATGTCCCCAAGTTGATGGTGTTCCATTACCGGCAGGCAGCTACCCTCCACAGGGCCCAGAGAAGGAGAGGGGAGAAAGCATTCAGGACACAGGGGCCAAAGATGGTGCACCGAGTCATCACTTAACGTCATGGAAGGCTCACTCACTCTCGTACACGAGGTACCTGTCACCCTTCCACCCAGAATCCTTCCTTGCATTACTTGGAGTGGATCCACAAGAGTGACTGCAGTCACCACGGAGATGGGACTCAAGCTATTAAAGGATACCCTTGAGGTGGTAAGGACAATGTGACATTTCTAAAATAATTCTACTGCCATCAAACGCCAAATAAGTCCTTTCTGCTGCTCACTTTAATAAAGTTGGGAGGTATTCTTATGAGCATATAGAGTCCATCTCAGAGCCTTAGAAATGTCACTAGAATTAAAGTGTGCTTGTTCCAAAGTGACAAACTAATGAGGTATCCTTTAGGAGAGCTGGAGCACATGACCCAGCCATGGTCTCCAAAGCACCCAAACTGTAACTGACCATGAGAGAATGTCACATGTGAGGCAGGATACATAAGTGGACATGGGCCCATTCTGGGTATCAGGGATTAATTCTGCCAATGGGGGGCTACACATGGGCCAGACATTTGTTTATTTATAAAGACAAGAGGAGTAGGCTGTGAACTTGATGCACACAGGCCTGCATCTTCACAGAGTATGTGGTGGTGATGGACACCGGGCCAGGACTGCTGACAGAGCTGGGATGGGCTTGCCTGGCCTCTAATGCTCCTATGGGTCAGTATCAACACCTGTCTACAGCCCTCAGATCTCCACTGCTGGCTCAGCCCTCTCTCCCACTGGCACCTGCCTCAGACTCAACACACCCCAAACAAGTCCCAGATCTGCCATAGCATCTGCCCCTTCCAGCCGTCCGCATTTCAGTGCCATATCACCCACCTGCTCAGGACAAAAACCCAGAGCCACCTTCAACTCCACCTTTCACTCAACCATCACGGCTGGTTCCTCCCAGGAGTTTTTCTCTTCACTATTGCTTTACCTCTCAAATCTGTCACACCACCCCTACAACTGCCACCTGGACCCCTGCAACATCCTCTGACCTGGCAACCTGTTCCCACTCTTGCCCCGCAGCTGAATCTCCAGTCTGAGGCCAACATGATTTTTTTTTTAATACAAACCTGATCCTACCACTCACTTGCTTAAACCCTTCAACGGTTTCCCATGTTTCTCCTTTCTCTCTCTCAAAAAAAGGTCAAAACTGACACCAATGCTGGCCTAGCCACTGCCCATCTCTCCAACCAGCCTCAGGCTCTACTTCCATGGTTCCACACTGACCACACAAGGCCATCACCTTGTCTCTTTGAGCAAGTGGTCCCTTGGCCTGGATCACTCTTTCCTTCTTCCTTACTCCTGCATCTCACCCAGCTGACTCTTCATCCTTCAGGTCACTGTGTTCCCAGGCTCAAAGACTAGGTGAGTCAGATCTCCCCACTAGATGGGAAGACATGATCATGCAGATTTTGGACCAGATGAGTGAAGCCTACACATCTCCCAGTCAAGTGATGATGTGGCCAAGGCCCTGCTTTGCCTCTCTTCTACATTCACAATAAGTTAGCCATACAACAAAGAAAAAATGTTCTGCTGCTATCAAAGAGTAACTCCATGGCTCAGGAAGAAAACTAGTGGCACATCAGAGTTGCAGGGCCACATGCAGTGACCAACCTGAGAAGGCTCGCCCTGCAACCACCCAACAGAAACCAGATGTGCTGCACGAAGCCTACACATCTCCTAGTCAAGTGATGATGTGGCCAAGGCCCTGCTTTGCCTCTCTTCTACATTCACAATAAGTCAGCCATACAACAAAGAAAAAATGTTCTGCTGCTATCAAAGAGTAACTCCATGGCTCAGGAAGAAAACTAGTGGCACATCAGAGTTGCAGGGCCACGTGCAGTGACCAACCTGAGAAGGCTCGCCCTGCAACCACCCAACAGAAACCAGATGTGCTGCAGGTGGGGGCTGCCAGTGTCACCAAGGGATGAAAGAAGGTATCAAAACGACACATACACCAGGATGCCACACTTGTCAAGACATATGTGTGACATGAGGAAAATGCATTTACCTTTCTGACAATGGCATTATGGATGGTGTCTATTTCTACCCCTCTCACTATGTACCTTCTATCTGAGCTATGTAAGTTTGGCTTATTTATGGCAAGAACTTTTGAAAGAATGAAAATAAAGAAAATAATAAGAGAAATTTAATTGATATTCAAGTAACTCATGCCCTTTCAAAAAATCAATCAGCCAACCAATAACTACAAAAACAAAAATGGCTAAGGGAGGAGATTCTGGGGACTGGCTTTCTGAGGGGCTCTCTGAGGTGGGGTGGGTGAGAACCGCAGGGTCTCCCATCTCCATGAGCTGAGGACAACAAACAGCCAAGGTCGCCACAGGCCATACTTACCACTCAACAATCTCTGGGTGAAGAATGGTGTTGTTGACATTGAACCTGTAGAGGGAAAATAAATCAAGCCCATTAGTTCAATGGTCTATCATGCCCCAGCAAGAAATCCTCACTCAGGACATACATACCATGACCAAGAGAGGGCCCTAAACTCTAACTTCCCGATGCCCTGACCTGCAGAAGGCCTGCTGCTCACTTCCTGCAGCAGACCTGGTAGACTGGGCTGTGTCCTCCAAGTGCAGTCAGTTGAAAAGCAAGCTTTTTGCCTGCAAAACACATACCCCCCACCCCACTAGGCAGACAGCATAGCCTCTTCTGTCAGGTATACCAACACACACAAAATGGGGGTACCAGAAGGAAAGGAGAGAGAGAAAGGAGCAGAAAGAATATTTGAAAATAATGGCTGAAACCTTTGCCAATTTTATGAAAAACATTAATCTCCATATCCATAAAGCTCAATGAACTCCAAGCATGATAAATTCAAAGAAATCCACACCTAGATACATCATAATCAAACCATTAAAAAACAAAGAGCATCTTGAAAGTAGCAAGAGAAAAACAAATCATCACATACAAGGAATCCTCAAAAAAATGGCTGATTTCTCATCAGAAACTATGCAGGCCAGAAGGCAATGGGATGGCATATTCAAAGTGCCAAAAGAAAAAACCAAATTGTCAACTAAGAATTCTATATCCAGCAAAGCTATGCTTTAAAAATTAAGGAGACTTAAAACATTCCAGATAAACAAAAATCAAGAGAATTCATTGCTAGCAGACCTATCCTACAAGAAAAACTAAAAGGAAACCTTCAGAGTGAAATAAAAGGACACTATAGAGTAACTTGAATCCACATGAAGAAAAAAGGGCATTAGTAAAGGTAACCGTGTAGGCAAATATAAAGACAGCATAAATGTATTTTTCATTTGTAACTCCTTTTTTCCTTTTTTCTATCTGACTTAAAAGACAACTACATAAAGCAATAATTATAAATCTGTATTGAAAAGCACAAAATGTACAAAGATGCAATCTGTATGGAGTGACAGCACAAAGGAAGGAGAGAAAATGGAGAGACACGGGGCAAAGTCTTCACATACTATTAAAATTAAGTTGACATTAATGCAAACTAGTTTTTTTTTTTTTTTTTAAGTTTAAGGGGTCAATTGTAATCCCCAGGGTAGTCAGTAAGAAAACAACTAAAACATACAGAAAAGGAAATGAGAAAGGAATAAAAATGGTACACTACAAAAAAAAAATCAAACACAAAAGAAGGTAGTAATGGAGAAACTGAGAAACAAAAATGATGACACATAGAAAACTAACTCTAAAATGGCAGAAATCCTTTCTTATCAATAATTACTCTAGATGTAATTGGACTGAATTCTCCAATTATAAGGCAAGGATTGGCAAAATTAATTTAAAAATATGATCCAACTATATGCTCTAAAGAGACAGACTTTAGATTCAAAGACATAAATAGTGTGAAAGTGAAAGGATGAGAAAAGATATATTACACAAACAGAAACCAAAAGGAGCTGGAATAGCTATACTAACATCAGACAAAAAAAGCCTTAAGACAAAAAGTTTTACTAAGATAAAGAAGGGCACTTAAAAATGATAAACAGGTCAATCCACAAAAGAAGACATAACAATTACAAACATACACACAACTAACAGAACCCCAGGATATATGAATCAAAAATTGACAGAACTGAAGAGAGAAACGGACAATTCAACAATAGTTGGAGACATCAGTAATCTACTTTCAGTAATGGGTAGAACTAGACAGAAGATCAACAAAGAAACAGAAGACTTGAACAACACTATAAACCAACTAGACCTAACAGAGACATCCCCAGAATACTCCACCCAACAGCAGCAGAGAACCCATGTTCTGAAGGGCACATGGATCACTCTCCAGAACAGACTATATGTAACACCATAAAACAAGCTGTGAGAATTAAAGTCATACTAAGTATACCCTCTGATCACAGTGGAATGAAATAAGAAATCAATAATAGAAGGAAAACAGGAAAATACACAAATATGTAGAAATTAAATAATCCACTCCTAAAGAACCAGTAGGTCAATAAAGTAATCACAAGGGAAACAAGAAAATACTGAGACAGATGAAAAGGAAAACAGAACATAGCAAAACTTATAGGAATGAAAGAATTTTACAGAAATAAAAAGAATCATGAGGAAATATGATAAATAACTAAATGGCAACAAATTGGATAACCTATTTTAAATAGACAGATTCCAAAAGATACGAACTGCCAAATCAATACAAGAAATAGAAAATGTGAATTGACCTTTAACAAGTAAGGAGATTAAATTAGTAAACAAAAACTTCTCACAAAGAAAAGCCCAGGGCCAAATGTCTTCACTAGTAAAGTCTACCAAATGTTCAGAAAAGAATTAACATGAAGCATTCATAAACTCTTACACAAAGCAGAAGAAGAAAAAACACTTTTCAACTCACTTTATAAGGTCAATATTATCCTGATACCAAAACTAGACAAAGACACCACAAGAAAACTATAGACCAAAATCCCTTATGAATATAGACAAAAAAATTTTCCACAAAATACTAGCAAACAAAATCCAGCAACATGTAGAAAGGATATACATACATCATGACCAAGTGGAATTTTTCCCAGAATGCAAGTTACTTCAACATATGAAAATCAATCAATGTAGCACACTATATTAATAGACTATACAACAAAACCACATAATCATATCAATAGATGCAGAAAAAGCATCTGACAAGATCCAACTCCTTTTCATGATAAATAAAACCTCAACGAACTAGGAAGAGAAGGGAAACTTTTCAACCTAATAAATAGCATCTATGAAAAACCCACAGCTAACATCTTATCAAACTTAATGGCAAGAGACTTAAACCTTTCCCTGAAGATGAAGAACAAGGCAAGGATGTCTGTTCTCTCCATTTCTGTTCAACATTGTACTGGAGGTTCTAACCAAGGCAAGAAAAAAATAAAAGACATCAAGGTTGAAAAGGAAGAAGTAAAAAGAAGTAAAACTATCTCTACTTGCAGATGACATAAACTTGTATATAGAAAATCTAAGCAATATACACACCCCACTCCCCGACTAGAGCTAATAAGCAAGTTCAGTAAGGTTACAGGATATATGATCAACATACAAAAATTATCTTTACCCTGATATCTGCATCCAGCCCAGCAACGACTGCTGGAAGCTCCCTGGTCTCCCCTGCTGGAACGACGGGGGTGCCACAGGCCTCAACCATGCTCCCCCTCTTTCCTCCTCCTCCCACCCTGTTTCCCTCCCCCTTTCTTTTCCCCTTACCCCCCTACTACTCTGCAACAATATCTTAGAATGTAAAAAAAA